CTCTTTCACTAGAGGGTCAGGTATTTCATTCTACACACCTAATATCTCTGTACTTACTCTTTATAAACTTTGTTACTCACTTAGGCATTGGAGTACCTTGTAGGTACACCCCAACTTCCTCTCTAACACCTGTGAACACAAGAGCTTCCGACGCGTGGCAAACTGCTGATTCCTTTCTGATCAAGTAAGATCATTAAGTATGCAAAATTCTTGTAATCGTGAAAATTTTGTATACTGTTGTATTATATTTTGGTACCATACATAACATGTCGAATAATATGATTCCAAACACATATTACTTGGGGTGTTACAATTAGAGACTTGATGTAAATACAACAACCTAAAGATTGGATAAATGTAAAACAAAATTGTAGTGATTTAAAGTTAAATATGCATTATTACCTTGGTAGCAATACAATTGTGATTCCCCTTGTCAATACTTGACATTTATCCATATTAACTGCTTAAAACTAGCATGTTAAAATATAACTTGTATTGAATTAAATTATCATACATGGTGTGCATACACTTTTTATATGTTAGCTTAGGGACTAACTAATATGCAAAGTTACTTACTAAGTATGAGTTGGTTATAACTACCAACTAACCATCCTAACTAGCTTTATATAGAATTAAGGAACAACATGTTCCCCTAATTCAATTCTATATCATTTATTTGACATCAAAAACACCTAATGCATTCCTCAAAATAAAAAACGGCCAATATTTTACTTTTTTACTAGCACATCTGCAACTTATGTAGTAGTATGGTAGTGTGCAATATCTAGCTTTTCTTGAGTGATCTGATTCTCTAAGAAATGAAACACTGTCTCAATATGTTTACTCCAAAACTGGGTTCTTTACTAGGTTGATAACTTACTTGTGTTGTGGGAGAATATGGACCTGAATGGTCCATAAAAGGGTTGAAATAAACCTTTCACAAAAATACCAAATTAAACAGTTTTCTTTTTGAAATCAGAGTTTAGCAAAATCGCTCGATGTAGCGGAATTTTCTTACAAAATATATGTTATTAGCTTGATCGTAATATACACTTAAAACAAAAACAAACTAAATGATAGATGAAGAGACTAAATCGATCAACGCTTCAATTGAAATAAATTCATTTTACACGAGACGTGTAAATTGAAACTTTTCAACTGAATAAAAACTCCAATATCATAGTTTTCAATTGAATGGAAAGTAAGAATGTTTAGGATCTTGATCTAACACATACCTAACTCTTATACATAAATTGTTGTTTAATGCAATAAAGCCTAACATCATGCAACTTCTAAGAACATGTTAGACCTAAACATACAATTCTAAATAAAATATAAAAGAGAGAAAATGAGATAGTACATCGGATTTATAGTGGTTCACCATGTTCGTCATCGCTTTGTGCCTACTCTGCTCTCCAATGGTTTCCCATTGAAAATATGTTGACTTCCACAATAATTATAACAACTTTTATACACAAACTTTTAATACAATTACAAGATTCAAGATAATACTAAAAATAAACTATTTTTCATCTGAATCTTCTCTTTGAGTGTATAACATTTAAAATTGTTATCTGCAAGATCTTTACTCAATCTCGACTTCCACCTTCTAGAATTCTACTCTAAGTGCCCATTTTTCAATGGCCATTACTCAATCCTACTAGTTCCTTGTCTGAGTCTTGAACTGTACGAAGGTAATACATGCTCCAACATCGTCTTTAGAGGCTTACACATAGCTCTACCGAAATAATCTTGAAGAAATGAAACTCTTTCTTTTTTAACGCTGGATTGTTAATCTTAGCCACAACCACACAAATATGCCAACCTCAAATCTTCAAATCTTCACAAAACATTAATCATAAAACAAACCTTCTTATAAATAACCCACACCTTAGGTTGTGAAGTTAATCTAAACAACAACAATATAAGATGGAGGTTGAAGATTAAGAGGAAATTTGTTTGAATACTAAAAACAAAACTCAAAATGCTTTTTGAAAGTTTGATAGAAAAGTGTGTTGTGTGTTCTAAATCATAGAATGTTAAGAGAGAAATTTTGAAAATGATTTATATATGTGCTGGAGATAAGGCACAAAATAAAAGAATACTCATTTGATTTGAGTCAAGAGCAAATGGTATGAGTCGAGTCAATAGAGTGAATGATTTGAATCTAGAATTAAAAACAAAGAAAAAAACTACATTTGTGATTCGAATCAAACTTTTCTTAATTCGAGTCATGTGATTCGAGTCAGACAGACCCATGATTCGAATCAAGATTATAGAATAAAAAAATACAATTAAGATTTGACTCGAGTAAAAGTTGTTTATGATTCGAATCAAAACCTCTATGATTCGAGTCAGTTTTTTTCTTTCTGTGATTCAAATCATACACACAAAAGCAAAATCCTATTTTTTAGAATCCATATTTGATTCGAGCCACTATTTCTCATGATTCAAATAAAAAACTCATATGTAAAATATATTTTTCACATTTAATTTTATTTGAGTCAGACAAATCTCTTATAAGAATCACACTTCCAAAATTTCAAATTTTAACTAAAATGAAGTGTTGATTTAAATCGATACTTAACACGATTTGAACCATGCTTTCATGTGTTTCTTGGTCTAAACCTCTGACTAATTGACTAGAAACATATTATGTTGACTTTAAGCAAATGGTTTGATATATGCATGGGTAAAAACCATTTAGCATCCAACCCTAGAATGTAGAACTATGTGAGGAGATTCAATTACGAAAAATAAACCAAAAATACTAAGTTGACAAACAACAAAACATAAACTATGTTAAACCCTAAGAGGCAAAGAAACTTTTGTTTCCCCTTTTTTATGCTTGGCAAACTTGCAATTTTTACAATTGAAATTGATTTGGCGTTGAGTAGAAGCAAAATGTGATCAGTGTTTTCCTTATTTTACTTATGTTCCTTCTGAAACATTTCACAATACCCCAAATAACATAAAACACATAAATAAAATCCAGACTCACTTTACAACTTTTTCTCCTTTGACAAGATCGAAAAGAGAAAAGTGGTAATGAGTCTAAACGCAAAATAACCAACAACGTGAAAATATCCAGAGGAAACAAAGGTAAACATAGATAAAGAAGGATATACATCAAATAAGAATAATATATCACAAATATATAAGATACAACACTTATTGAATGCAAAAAATATGCACAATACGACATGAAATAAATAGCAACAAGACTTCATGTCATTAAAATATATAGAAATGGTAGATTAAATAATGCATGAAAAATTCAAAAAGATATTCAAAATGCACATAAACAAAGATTCACTTTAAAAAATTTTAAATTCACAAATGAAAAGTCATTTAACAGTTAAGATATTATGAACGTTAAGCGACATATAGAACAGATTGGGAAAATAATACAACTAAAGATAACAATTGAAGTGGTCATACCAATATAGTTGTTTAGAAGTAACCCGCTACATAAGAAATGTTCGTTTACAACAACAATATGTAGAAAAATTAAATGAAATAAAATATGAATATATTTATAACACGAGGAATCCAAAATTCTCAATTATGTATGAATCTTTGCATATAGCAGTTATGTAAAAATATCAACTAATTTATTTTTTGTATCCATATATTCAAAAACAACATAGTTCTTTTCATAATAATCTCTAAAAAAATGGTGACGGATTTTTATAACTTAGTGCGTGAATGCAACACAAGATTCTTAGTAAGACTGATGGCGTTAGTGTTATCACATTTTATTGGAATGCAACCGAGTTTTGAATTATAATTCAATAGTTGTTGCTTTAGCCATAATACTTGTGCGCAAGAGTTACTGGCGGCTATATATTCAACTTCAGCGGTAGAAAGAACAACGATATGCTACTTCTTGTTGTGCCAAAAATCAAACAATTTCCAAACAAATGACAAGTATCACAAGTACTCTTCTTATTCGATTTGCACTCAACTAAGCCAAAATTGGAGAATCCTACTAAGCTACACTCATTTCTCTTAAAAAACCAAATAGCGTGATGCGAGGTTCCGTTAAGACACCTCAAAATTCTTTTAACAATCTTAAAATGAAAATCCTTTGGTGATGCTTTAAATGGAGCGCGAATGTACACGCTAAACATAATATTTGAGTTTGCTCGCATTAAATGGATTAAATATTCTATGATATCTCTATATTTGATAATCTCAATCTCCATGCCCTAGTCATCTTTATCCATCAGCAAATTTGAAGTCATACGAGTAGTAATGCTCTTCAAATTTTTCATATCATATTTCTTTTTGAGCTCTAAATAATACTTTATGTGTTTGATGAACGCGTCAACTTCTCTTTACTTGATCTACAATCCTAAAAAGTAATTAAGTTCTCTCAATGACATTTCAAACTCTCATGCATCATAGTAGCAAATTATTTGCATATAAATTCATTAGTGAATTCAAATATAATATCATAAACATAGATATTCATTAGTATATTCAAATATAACATCATAAACATAAATATGATCTAATAAGATATGGTTTTCTTTACGCGAGATAAACAAAATAGTATCCTCTTTATCATGATTAAACTATTTCTTAATCAAAAAATCACTAAGGCTCCTCATATATATATATATATATATATATATATATATATATATATATATATATATATATATATATATATATATATATATATATATATATATATATATATATATATATATATATATATATATATATATATATATATATATATATATATATATATATATATATATATATATATATATATATATATATATATATATATATATATATATATATATATATATATATATATATATATATATATATATATAAGTATTAAGGCTCTGTTTAACTTACAAATGAAGGGGATGATTCAAAGTGAAAAGCAAGTCCTGGTTGGGCCTCATAATTTCGGTAGAAACTAACATCAAATTGAAAACACAGAGACGAAAGAAAGAGGAGAGAGGCCGAAGGGATCGATGGCGACGAGTACCAATAGCAGCAACAGCAGCCAGCCATACAAACCATACCGTCACTTCAAAACATTAACGGCGCACAATCTCGCCGTCTCCTGCGTCAAATTCTCCAACGACGGAACACTTCTCGCCTCCGGTTCCCTCGATAAAACCGTAATCATTTGGTCCTCCGCCACACTCTCTCTCCTCCACCGCCTAACCGGCCACTCCGAAGGAATCTCCGACGTCGCCTGGTCGTCCGATTCCCACTACGTCTGCTCCGCCTCCGACGACCGTACCCTCCGCATCTGGGATGCCAACGGCGGTGACTGTGTCAAAATCCTCCGTGGCCACACACACATCGTTTTCTGCGTCAATTTCAATCCTCAGTCCAATTACATCGTCTCCGGCTCCTTCGATGAAACCGTTAGGGTTTGGGAAGTGAAGACTGGGAAGTGTATCCATGTTATCAAAGCTCACGACATGCCTGTTACTTCCGTTCACTTCAATCGCGATGGTTCTCTTATTGTTTCCGGTAGTCACGATGGGTCTTGCAAGATTTGGGACACAAACGCCGGTGCTCTCTTGAAGACTCTGATTGATGATAAGCTTCCAGCTGTTTCGTTCGCCAGATTCTCACCTAATGGAAAATTCATACTCGTTGCTACTCTCAATAATACCCTTGTGAGTTTTCCTTTTTGCTTGATTAACTTCTTTCTGTTATCTTTATCATTGATTGGTTATCATGCCTATGTTTTTTTTTGTTGGTTCATGTGCTTTTAAATTTTCTCCATGTTTCCCCTTTTTTTTTTTTGCTTAGTTTGTGATTTTACTTCATATAGATTGCAGAAATTTAGATAATTTGTGGAATGTGCTTGTTAAAAACAACTCAAGCTAAGTGGAAATAAGAAAATTTTACCCAAATAACCGCCTTTCACTATTATATTTTTCAAAATACTCATCATGTCAACAAATTTTCCTAAGTACCCTAGTTTCAAACAAAAATAAATTCGTTGAAAGGGGGTCATCTCATTTGAAGTCACCATTATATTTAAAGAGGAGGCGTCATCTCATTTGGAGTCACTCTTATGTTGAAGGAAGGAGGGGCGCCATCTCATTTGGAGTCACTCTTATGAGTTAGGAGGAGACGCCATTTGCTTTGGAGTCACTCTTAAGTGGCACCCCCTCCTTAAACATAAGGGTGATTCCAAATGAGATAGCGCCCCCCTTCAAGGAATTTCTTTTTTTTTTTTAAAACTAGGGTACTTTGGAAAATTTGTTAAAAAGACGGGTATTTTAAAATATATAATAATGAAAGGTGGTTATTTGGGTAAAATTTTTTGGAAATAAATACTTGAGATTAATTATTCTAATGTACTGGTTTGTTCTGAATGGGATTTAGCACCAACATCTCTGAAAAAAGATGAAAACGGGTCTCTGTCGTATCTGAAACCGAAACTAACACGTGACACTTGTGATTACTGAAACCGACACTAACACTTGATACTTGTGATTACGTTTAATATATTTACTTTTTACAAATTATTATTTGTGTCGGCTTTTTATTAAGGGGTGGACAATCGGTCGGTTCCGGTCGGATTTGATTCCAAACCGGCCAAATCCATGATTAGCATTTTAAAGGCCATTTTTGTCAGTTCCGGTCGGATTTGATTCCAAACCGGCCAAATCCATGATTAGCATTTTAAAGGCCATTTTCGTCAGTTTCAGCATTCGGTTTCGGCGGTTTCACGATTTTTGCGGATGATCGGTTGGATTGTCTCGGTTTTTTAGTAAACAAAATCTGAAAAAGAAACTGCAACAAACTTAGAACTATAAAATAAAAAACACAAGTTTTAAGAGAAAGAAACTTTAACAATTAAACCACACAAAAACAGATTAAAAATATAATTAGTTTTACATATGAAGAAAGAAGAAATAATCTTTGATGAAAGGAATGATAAATGTTGAAATTTACCCAGATCTGATAGCAAGTAGATATAAGAAAGGTCTCTTAAAGTAAATCTGTGTAAGGAAGTAGATTTAAGAAAGGTCTCTTAAAGTAAATCTGTGTAAGGAACAAAAAGATAAAAATAGAGATTAAGAATTGTTTTTGTTGTACCTTTAGTTTCTAAAGTTTTCAAGTTTATGCTGAAACATCTCTCCATAGTAGTAATTTAAAAAGAAAATCTATGATAACACATCAGCCTTCATCTTCATCGGGAAAGAGAATAAAAATTGGAAAGAAGTGTAATAATAAATGCAATTAAAATTGAAATCAAAAATTGGAAAGGGAGAATATCAATAAATGCAGTACACTAAACATTGTAGTTTTCATGAGAGAGAAAAGTTAATGGTTTACACATTACCACATGTAGTTTCCACTTTTCAGGCCTTGAATCGGATGGTCTCGGTCAATAGTGAATTAATATTGGGAACCCATATCCGACTGTTAAAATCCATAGAAAATTGATTTTCTTAAACTGAAAAACCGGTAACCCGTAGAACCCGAACCGTATAACCCTTTATATTCTCGAGCGAAACGGTTTGGATCGGTTCATAGATTTTTGTCCACCCCTAGTTTTAGTGTTGGTGTCATGTTTTCAGTGTCTGCGCTTCATATACTGATTGCGAGAGGAAGTATTGAGAAGATTAATTGGTTGGTATAATGTTTTGATTGACTTGAGCTCTTGTTGTAGAGCTTCTATGTAATTCTTCAATTGAATAGAGAATGAGGATTAACTATGAATAAATATGTGTAAGTTGTTTCTATTAACTTATTTTGGAAGCTGGATATTTCATTAGTTGTTCTCACAATTTCATCTAAAAGTACATATATATAAGTATTATGGCATTAAGTTAAGTTAAGGACAAATAAGTTCTTTCACACGTGTCTTTTTAGTCACTACTTGTCCTGCCAATATTTTGTGGGTTGAAAACTAGGAAACTGTAATCTATGAGGTTTTGTTGTGGTTGTTGTAATGGTTTTTATTTTAGTTTTGTTGTCTATTTTTACTAGTTAATGGAGAGTTAGTTTGGTTGATACTGGTTTCTTTGATAACATCCTGCCAATTTGAAATTTCTTGGTGCAGAAGCTATGGAACTATGCTACTGGGAAGTTTTTGAAAATATATTCCGGCCATGAGAATAAAGTGTACTGTGTAACTTCCACATTTTCTGTGACAAATGGGAGATACATTGTCAGCGGTTCAGAAGATCGGTGTGTTTATCTCTGGGATCTTCAGTTGAGAAACTTGATTCAGAAACTCGAAGGCCATACAGATACTGTAATAGCTGTTTCCTGCCATCCAAGAGAGAACAAAATTGCTTCTGCTGGTCTTGATGGTGATAGAACTGTGAGGATTTGGGTGCAGGATTCTTGAATAATAGCAAATTTTAAGGGAATATATATAGCTCTTTTGTCATACAATCTGAGCTTTATTTAACATGCTTCTTTTTTTAGAATTGATGCATTATAGGAGTGCGAAATTGCAAATAACATAAATTGCTACCATAAGTAAATAATTAGAAGAACTTACCATATTTGCATATTTCAGGTTTCTAATTATGATTTTAGAAAGTAGCAATGAAACCAAAAGAAAAATTGGCATTGATGCTAGTTGTTATGGATAAGAAACATGAATTCTTCTTAATTGATTGGGGGTGATGGTTAGGGTGAGTGGCAGGGATGATGGGGTAGGAAACTGGGGTTGCATGGGTTGTCTCTGACTGATAAAAAAAAACAGTGACAAGAAAATAGCAAAGTCATACAAATTTAAGATGATCCGAAACACGAGACTCACACATTGACATCAGTAATAAATTAAAAAAAAAAAAAAATTAAACGTGATTACCATGATTGGTGGTCGGTTTCGAACACTGACACCTTTTATAGACATGTGGTGGTCGGTTTCAAACACTGACACCTTTTATAAACATGTGCTAAACCAAAAGCCTATTTTAAACTCTTTTTTTTTTAATGTATAGTGATAATAAAATCAGCTCCGAATATCATTAAATAAAATTTATTTCATTATTGAATAAGTTTTTTTATTGGGCTTGTGGATTTGGGATGAATTTTTTTAAGTAATTAATTTTAAGTAGTAAATAAATAAAATATAGCAAATCGTATTAGCATACGCAAAATTGAAATGTTATTGGATATGGCTTTGTAGAGATTAAATTTGGAATTGTATATAGCAACAAAAATGTAGAACTGAAATTGAAATGTTATTGGATATGGCTTTGTAGAGATTAAATTTGGAATTGTATATAGCAACAAAAATGTAGAAGTGCCTATCAGCAAAGTTACCGCATGTATTTTAGTTTACGTGTCTGATTTCAACACTAGTTCAATGAAATAATAAGCCCTTACCCGTTCCATAGAGCCAAAATAAAATATAATTTTGCAAAAGGTGTCTCAATGTGTAAAATGAAAACCAACCGCAAGTTTATTTTCTCTCAATTAGACAATAATTAACAACAGATCCTAAATTGTTTATTGTCCATAGATGGTTGCTGGGCATAGTGAAAGAGTTAAGCAATAAAAAGATGTGCGGTCCAACCCATAGTTTTAGCACAGTTGTTTTCTTTTTCCATTCTCCCTATCATATTAATTCTTATATTTCTAGATGTATTAACTTTACTTGCTCAATTTTTTTAGTACTCTCTCTTTCACTCTAATATAAGCAATTTTGTTTTTTTAGAGAGGAGTCACTTATGGTCAATATTGAGACAAGATTATTCTCTAAATCTTTTTCTTTTTTATTTAAATAACTCTTTGTTTTTATTTTTGTGCTTTATTTTTCTCGGTGATAGACCTTTTCTTCTACTAGTTAGATTATATTTGATGATTCTTCTTTCACGAATAATTTTGTTTTTTTATTGTACTTTGTTGTACGCTTTCAATTTTTTTTTTCTCGATATTTTACCACTCTTGCTTTTATTTTTGACCGATTTGAAACACCAAACTCACAACCTCTTTTTTTTTTTTAGGATTGTCTTTTTTTTTTTTTTTTTGCTCTTTTTTCTCCTGGCCATGAATATTTAAGTTTTTAAATATTTTTCTTAACTTCACAACTTCTTTTGGTTTTGACACTAACTAATCGAAACATATTTTTTAGGAACAATTTTTTTTAGAGTTATTGGCACAAATATAATTAAAGTACCAAGAAATAACACACAAACTGCTGACATAGACCAATTTAATTCCTTTCAAAAATTGGAGAGACTTGGATTTCTCTTCTAAAATATTCGAGTGTTAGGTCTCTCCCAATAACCACCGAATACCTTTTTGACGATAAACTTTTCTCCATCTCTCTAGTGAAAGGAAGTTGCATAACACTTTGTTTTGCCCTCTTTCTCCTTGGTGTTTGTCCGAACTATGTCTCACTTTCCAATTCTGAATTGGAAACACTATCTTTGTTGGTCTTTGTCAATTATGTTATCTCAACGCATACAATTAATTTCCTAATTCATTATTGCTTTCCTCTTGAATCTTTAATATATACCTTCATCTTGTTTGTGGTCTTTTATTATACGTATTGTCCATTGTTGTTATGTTTTGTTGATAGAGTATGTTGTTGTCTAGATTATTCATATCCGTTAAAATGTTTTCTTGATGATCGTGAGTGACACCATTTGTAATCTTCATCGCCATTTCCATGTTGTTTTGGTCTTCCATTTTGAAAGTTAGAGTTACAATATTTGTAACTTGGTTTATCTTGAGATGGCTTCGAGGGTGCTCGACTTTTGATGACCACCACACTACTCATATATTGAGGGATAAATCATCATGTTGGACATGTAATCTTTAAGATTTAGTTATGATGAATTGTGTACCTTATTCTCATATGTTTTTTCTTCAAATGGAGCTACAAAGACATTATGATGTCAAAGTAAGATATGGTGTAGTAGCTAACAAGTAAGATGGGCTAAATTGAGGTATCATATCTAAGTGATGAATCCTCTATTTATAGACTAGATAAACTCGTAAACGCTTTAATGTCTTGTTACCTTTGTTGGGGTGATTATTGGTATCATATTACGACAAGTGTTACATATTGATGTCAAAGTTTGAGAGATGTAGGACCCTATATCTGGTTTAAATGAGTTTTTTTACATGTGTAATGATTGAAACATGCAAGTGCTTCTAGAGTTCTTATAAATCAGTATGTCTATCTTCTAAGATGATGTTAAGAGCAACATATGTGCTATATAATCTCTCTCTTATATTAATGTATCCATGTAGAGTTTTTTTTCCGTATTTGGTTATGTAATTGACATGTTTTCCCATTCTAATGTAGACTTTCTTGATTGTATAGTTTAATTCTTATTTAGGTCTGACTTCTTAAATCTATTTCATTACACTTAAGAAGGGATGATTATCTCATTTGCATTTGGTAGGCAAAAAAGCTTGTAATTTTTTTACTTGCCTTGATATGGGTGCATGATCTTCAATTGAAGCTTATTGATTTTATATTAGTTTCTAAACGAAACGTTGATAATTTCAATAATGCGGGGGTCTGCTTATGATTTTGATGTTATATTAGTTAATTGTAGACAATGATATTTTGCTTATTTAAAATATTCTCATGTTATATTTATTAGAAAACAAATTTACGAGTTAACTAACATTTTAGTACTAACAACTATATTTTTAATTCATCTCCTACATTTTTAGTGATAGCTCAACATGTTACTTTACTTTTTGTTTTTTTATAATAAATTTATTTAATATCTATAAACTTAATTCAAAGATATTTATCAAATAAACTTATCGTTGCTCTTTTTAAAATATGAGAAACCTTTTGTTTGACACCAACAAGATTATTGTTATTTCCACCATTAATATATAAGACTGATCAGTCACAAAAAATAAATACTTTTATGTGAGCTTCATCTACTTTCTCGGTGTTCTCAAAGTAAGAAATTGTTTCCACTTATTCAGGATTCACCCAGCAGTACATATGAGCGTCTTTCGGTTCCACTAAGCATGTGCTTTCTTGTTTAATAATTTCTTCCAAATTGTAATGAAAAAGGTAATGTCGGTCAAAAACGGCATTGTTACTTATAAAAATAAGATGATCTCTAATCTTTATATCATTAGGGTCATGACTATGTGCCTCCCTAAAAGTATTGGTAAAAAGGTGAGCTCGTCGTCACTCATCTCGAGCTGCTATATTGGCATATGGATTTCTATAAGACCTGGCGGAGGAGGAAAAACGGGAAACCACCTTTGTAAAATCTTGATTGCTGGAGTTTTCGCTTCCATCTTTCTCATAAGTACTAAGGGGATAATCACCACTTTCTACACAATCCCCGACATATACAAAGATATCACTAAGCATAACAAAGTTGGTATTGTGGATATTATATACTAGAGGATTAACATTTAGGACATCAGAGTTCTCATATATTGCAGATACTAAAGAATCTCCACAATCAGACCCATTCATTATATGCTCAGGAATATTTTTTAAGTTGGTCAGAGTGAATGCTAGAAAGATAAACAACAAATATAAGGGAAAAACTATAAATGGTACTTGAGTAAGAAGCGAAACAAGGGAGTAACTAAGAGCAAAATAAACATAAAAATAAGGATAAACTAGGAAAAATGGACCCAACAAGAGATATACGGCCAAATTGAAAATCACTAAAGCTTAAGAGAAGAAGAATACATAGTTCACAAAAAAATATAAGGTTTAGTTCTAAGAGGGAACATAAATTGTTTGAAAGGCCAATACAACCTCTATATAATGGAGTCAAAAAAGCGAATCAATGTTGTAGAATGAAAGAAAATAAAATACAAATCAACGGTCTAGATGACACCTCGAAATGTAGTGACGCTTGAATACACTCAAGTACCCTAGGGGGGAAAGACCACGCTCTAACTTATGAACTTAGGGTCATGTGTAAAGAAAACATGTGAAACATCTCAATTATGAGATTCACATTTAATGTGGTTAACTCCAGAAAAATTTCACTTCTCAACGTCAGATTCCAATTAGGAGTACTTTCCAAGTTCCTTGGAAGACTTCCTTAGAAGTAACTATTTTGGGACAACTACAGATCCAATACAATATATGTATAATAATCTCCCATTGCATATATACCACAACATAAATAATAAATGTGTATGATTCGATTCATAATTCACTCGGCCTCATTTTATTTACAAACTGATTTGGAGTGATAACCTTGTATGTCTATCCTGCACAACTGTACTAGAGAAACTTACACCGCTACATCAAGAACCTCCACCAACAATTATGATTTCAGAACGAAACATATAATAAGAAGAAAAAAAGATAAATACACATGTACATATTATTTAAGGAACGAGAATGAGGAGATGTTAAAGATAATGAATAACTGAATGTAA